TAATTTGGACCCACCCATTCTATTTGTTCAGTCGCATTTGTACAAACATCATACTGTATATACAGCAAGAAAAAGGAACAATAAAACTACAAAACATGCACAGAGACCTTCCACAAGTCATTTTGCATTCTGATGTCAATGCAAACACAATGTTTTTTGGTGGAATAATTTCAAATGCCTTTATATAGTTTTAATATATTGTCATAAAACAACGTTGTGTGCAGGTGACGCAAAACTGTATGGATGGTCTCATTCCAGCATTTCTGTGGATGGTGAAACAGTGATACACTATATTTCAGCTTTTGTTCTGTATTTACATACACATTTCCTTTCTCTTCAAAACAAATGGACTCATAACATGTCATCACAAATGGTCCCTAAGAACATGGATCTATGATAGTTGCCTGTTCAGAGATGGCCTGGGTTATGCTTAACTAAGCTGGCTATAAATACCAAGCCTCAAAATGATTTGTTCAACAGAGTATTGTCAACTTTGCACAATGACTTACACGAACACTCGATTTTTTCTTACTCTAAAGAGGTGTTGTGCTTTGTGTGCACACATAACTTTGTGTGAGCATATTTATTTATCCCAAAACAGGATGGGCACTGGATAAAAAAATGCTACTCTTTTCATTCAAAAAACAGAACAACAACAACACTTGCACCATTCCTTTTTGGTACGTTACAAAGAAAGTTCCATCCTCGGAAAGTAAAGTATGTGTGAATGCGGGATGTGTTTTTCTGTTGTGCAGGTTGTTGGCTCAAGGGTCAATGCGAAAAGCCAAAAGTTTGTCGGAGTGTAAATTGCTGAGGGTGCGCAGGTCTGGAAGTCGCAGGAGGACTTTGGAAAAGAGCGAGGTGTCGTCCGGATGCCGCCGACCGATCAGCGACCGCAGGGCATGGATGAGACCCTCCTGGAGCTGCTCAACAGCCAGCACATCTGAGATGCCCGAACGATCTAAGGAGATCAGAGGATGCTGGTGTGAGGATGTGGCCTGTCAAATATTCGAAAATGCTCTCTTGAGATATGAGCTTAATTCCATCTATGACGACGCTCAGAACACAAAACACTCATGTCGCAGATGATCTTATTTCGTGCAACCACTTGACAAAATGAAATTGAGTAAATTCAGCAAACCATTCTTTTCAGTGTATGCATTCAGTGACACAATAATTCTACTGTAATGTGAGTATTTTTTTTTTCACAGTGGCTAGAGAATATATGAATGTCAACATTCTTACATCGTCTGTCTTCATGTGCGGCTGCACAGTTTGTGTTCAAATATCCATTCCTGAAAGCGTTGTAACACTGCCAGAGAGAAGCTATAGCCCTTGTATGGAATTTCCCATTATGCGTTAGCATTAAGCTAATGGAATTAAAAGGCTATGTGGCGGTTGAAAACACACAATCAGTAATTCTCTGAATGTGATATTTAGTTTGACAGTAAACTTTAAGTGTGAGTGGCAATAAATAACTTGAAGCCTCCTTTTTGAACGATTTGTTCACTATCTGCCAAATTGCTGCTTGTTGTGAAGTGAGTTGAGTTCACTTTTCCCATACAATGCTCATATCTCCAGTTTTTTGCTCGCAAGTTAAAAATATCAGCCAAATGATGACTCGTATCTCAAAATGTGCCAAAACTCGTATCAACTCGAGGCACCGCCGCAGTGGCTACAACATCCATTCATGGTAATCATGTCCCACAGTGAACATTTGGTACCTGCTGAGACCAAGACCACAGCCATGAAGAGGGCCATTTCGTCGGGCTCTAAGCCCATGGCGCCTAGCCTCTCACTGAAGTCAAACATGGCGTCGAGAAGGGAGCCCATGCCCAAAGCACGCAGGGTGGACAAGGGGTACGTTTGACCATTCAGGAAGGTCACTGTGTGCTCTGCGGCATTGAACAAGGTGCAGAACCTCACCATCAAAACCTAGTACACCAAAAAAAAAAACAAAACAGATTATGTTTGTTTCGGCACCTTGTGCTTTTTGGATTCAGGTCAACACATGATTTTGATATGAACGTGTTACCTGGAAGGTGCCTGACTTAAGCAGCATGACTTGGTCCTGCTGGCTCAGCTCTTGAAATCCTGGAATGCCCTTGGCGAATTCGACCACCTCCTTGACAGCGGGAGTGAAACACTGAGAAAAGGACTCCCAAATGTCCTGACTACTGCGCTCGGGCCCAGAGACAGGGCATGCGTTCAGGGGACAGGCCTGAAAATGGGGATAGAAATGCACGAGGTGATTTTGTGTCAACTTGGACATGGCGCAGAAACGTTGCTTTATTCTTGCACACTTACCAACACTTTAGCTCCCGGAGCCAACTTCCATGGGCAGGAGGGCTGATTTGTGGCGTGACCTGGCTTGCATGAATAATTGGCAGCGCCTCTTTGAGGCGTGTCCAAACTTGGCTGATGATTTTGGCTTGCCTGTCCACGCACCACATATGCGTAACGATTGTTGTCCATGGCATGAAAAGTAAGTTGGTGGTCATCAGGGACAACTAGGCAAGGCCGGCAAGTCTGGCCTGAGTTGGCTTGGCCTGAAGTCGGCTGGAAATTGCAATCTTGAGAGGCGTCGTCGGTGGTGGTGGTTTTAGCCCTCTTGGCTGTCCTCTCCTCTCTGCTGCCACTGAAGATGTCCTGGTAGGCTCTGGAGATTGCCCCGATGGCCTCCTTTGAGCTACTGTCTTCTTGGCTAGTGGGGGACTCTTTCATGGATGATGAGTTCATGTCCATGGCAGCCGACTCATTTAGGCTGTTCATATAGCTCTGCATCTCATCCAGAAGTCGTTGCTTCTCTCTTTTAGGGATGCGGCCAAAACGCACGGCTGCAGAAAAGACAGTCAGGGAAGAGGTCACAATCTGCTTTTTCAATGATTTCTGTATGTTTCTGTTGGCTAGAAAAACTTCAAATATATGACTGAATTTCACAGTAATGTTCTAGGAACCGACAGAACTGTTCAAGGAGGCGATCACGTATGTTGCAAGATGCAAATTTCCGTCTCCACACCCGTCTTCCCTTCCCTCTTCCCACGGTAACCATCAGCTGGAGAAGCTATTTATAGACTCCCTGCTCACATCTGCCTCATTCTCTCCTTCATCCAACACTGTCTCCCTCCTCTCCCTCTGTTGTAAGTAGGGCAGTGGGGCAATGTGAGCGTGATGTCACTGGGACTGAGCTTGTGAGCGCAACCATAAGAAGAGGCAGCCTCTAAGGGACAAACACGGCCGCACGAAGCAAACTAAGACGGAAGAGGCGCATGCATGGAAAGTACGAGTGTTTGTGTGCGCCTGCATGGTCAGGTTACATGAGGCAACACGAAAGTTTTGAAATGCCAAAACTTTTGACATAGCACACCATATGCTCCAAATGCCTCAGCACAGAAAAATCATGTGGGCAAGATGATTTACTGGACTGTTGCTGTTTGCCCAATGTAACCTCATTTTCTCAGTTCCTGCCATATCAAACTAGCACAGAGAGAAAAAAAAAAAATCTAAGACCTTTGATCATGGTGTGCTGTGTTTCGGAGATGATCTGTGCTGACTTATATTTGCATGCAGTTGGAGGCTGGGTGCCTGCCTACCTGCCTGCCTGCCTGCCTGCATGTGAAATCAGGGTGATGTATGTAGATTGCAGGCTGTAGGCAGTTGCATGTGGTTTTCCTGTTTTTGAAATGTTTGTAAAAGTGGGTTTTTAGGTTGCGGTCCTGGAGTCTTAAAAGAAATGCCACTTTAAAAGGGGTCAGGCTAACTGCTTTTACTGTCATTGTGTTGCCTTCTGCCACCTAACTGCTTGTGCACCTGGAGTGTCAGACACATGCAGACATAACGGTACGGGTCTAACTTCCATTTTAGAATTGGCCCGGAGGTGGAGATAAATCGAAACCAGTGAGAAGGAGAAAAGCTGGCAAACTACACCAACTAGGTCACAATGTTTGAGAACATTATGAGCACAACTTTGTATTTTTCTGGGTCAGCATAGTTTTTTTTTAATTTGCAGTTCTAAGTGATCAATCAGTGTGCAGCAATCAAGGGGATGTGATCTTCGTTCCTGAGAAAAACTAACGCATCTGGCGGCTTTCTGCATCTCGGGCTTAATTGTTTCCTTCTTCCCAACGATGTTCTACAGGCAAACACAAGGTAATCAAGTCAAGCCTGTTCCAATTTCTTAAAATAATTCCTGTGTTTGCAGCAGTTTCCTAGATGATAGATAGCTTCGGGGACTTCAATGCTCCTGGACTCATAAATCATTGTTTGACAGGGGGATGGCGGAGGGCAGAAGGAATATGGTGAGCTACAAGGAGGGGGAGGTGGTGTGCCAAATCGGAGCATCTTTCCAAGACTTTGGTTGGAGGACACTGCTTGGGGTGATCACAGAAAGACCTTTCAGAAACTCGTCTCACTCACCGCATGGCTGTTTATAGTCATCAACGGGAATCCAACCTTTTACTGCCACTGACGAATATATTCGTTCAATACATTTTTACAACGAGTAGGTGTGGAAGGCCAAGTTTGGGCACCTCACACTCAAACAGAGTATGTAGACTATATGCATGGTATAAACAGCGTGTGTCTTGCGATCGTAGGAAACGATGACACAGTTCATGGGGTGAATGCTGAATGGCCTATTAGAAAGCTACTGACGTTCCACTTGAGCTGAATCCAGTGTGATTGCATCATCACGGCATGCTTCAGTCCTTTCTCACCCTGATGTTCTTTTCAAATTGAAAGTGTCACAAGAACAAAAAAAATCGCATCAAAGTTTCTTTTCACAAAAAACAAATTTTCTCCACTTTTTGCTCAGACATCAATGTTTTTGTCGAACCCAATCCATGTTATACTACTGATGGCGAAAGAATGGAAATTGGGGTCGCCAGAGTGCATCGTGACTGAATCAGTGGCAGGATGACCTCCACGAAGTTCCCGTGTTACATTTTTGACTTAGACCCGCATATCTACGCTGCTGCTGACCAATTCCTCACTGTGTTGGCTAATCAGGCCACCATGGCAGGAACTCCACAGCGGTTCTTTGCATTCAGTTGTGTCAAGACATCTCACCATCTCGTGACATGCCAACAGACAGGCACTTCTTGAAGCGACAGTGCTGGCACCGATTGCGGTTCATGCGCATGATCAGGCAGTTCTCATTCTTCACGCACATCTTGTAATTGATGTTCTGCTGGATGCTGCGGCGGAAAAAACCCTAAAACGACAATGTACCTTGTGAAATGTCTATAACACTGCGTGGAAACTTCAGCTTCATCCATCTGTCAAGGGGCTTGCTTACCTTGCATCCTTCACATGCATGGACACCATAGTGGAAGCCAGACGCAATGTCCCCACAGACCTTACAGAGTAGGACCATCCCACCATTTTCTGTGGACGGACAACATAGTCATGAGCTCACTTGTGGGTATGGGGGCACTGTCAGCATTGTTGCATTTCTTATTCAATACAGAGCTGACATTCAAATGTGACATTATTGCAAATAATAAGGAGTTATTGGGCAGTGCTGTTTCTGGAGCAGGTGGGAGGGGAACACCTGCCCCCTTTCCCTCCATGTCCAAAGTGCCCTTTTGTCAATGTCTTTTTTTTTTTCCAGCATGACCAGGAAAAGTCGTATTCCTCACATATGTGTAGCCTTCCTAACTGGTTCATTCCCCAGAGTTAGGTTAATAGTTTTTTTTTCTCTTAAAATAAAATGCCAGTAATTACATACTAGTGAAAGTTCCATGGAAACCGCACGGCCTTTTTGCAGCAATTGGATGTGCGTAGTAGGTATGCTGCTGCGGAGCTGCTGTGGGAGTGCCGCGATGGACCTCGGGGAACTGGAACACGAGTTTTGAGGTTGGAGTGGTGGACCCAGCCGGGCTCTCTTTCAGTGCCCCGATCTCTGTGAAGGTGACTTCCTCTGGCGATGATGGCTGCGAGTGTGAGGAAGGTGACTGTGTCTGGTAGCCACTGGAGGGGCTCCCGGGGCTGGGGCTGGAGCTTCCCGAGGAGCCAGCATACAGGATGACGCCCCCACCTCCTGCAAACAAGGCAAAGGGGGCACTGGTTAGTTCAGTCACTTCAAGTTCACCTCCCAAACACAGTATTCTTCAGGTTATTTTTGAAAGACACAACCATTTCCATAAATGAGCAAATGTGTTTCAACCTGTGTCCGGTATGCCACGCTTTTTTTTTTTTTTTGGTCAAAAGTCACAATGATCATCAGAATAACTGACATATATCGCTGATCCACCTGCTGCGGTTGCGAGCAACAGTTGTGGTATGTTATCAAATGAGTGCAGCGGTGTGAAGGCAATGCAAATAGAGGCTTGTCCCTTTTGTGACACATTAACAGCAAGAAAGTTCATCAAACGATGGATCTTTGGAATGTATTGTTACACCTTGTAGACTTTTTGCTGAATTGAACAGTTGTGTCCCACTACTATGATGTCATCACATCCTGCGGCCCACACTTCAGGGTTTACCGCTCCGTCAAAACAGGGGTGTCCAAATCTGGACCTCGAGGGCCACTATCCTGCAGGTTTTCGATGGCTCCCCTCTCCAAAACACCTGATTCACACGATCAGGACCGTTGCTGATGACCTTACCATTCGAATCAGGAGTGTTGGAAGAGGGAGCCCTATAAGGCATGCTGGACAGTGGCCCACAAGGACCAGATTTGGACACCACTTGGCTAAAAGTACGATTAGATCCCAGTAGATTCTGAACCACACAGTTTTGTGCTACATTAGTGCACCATGAGAAATTATCAAGTGTGCCATGAAAAATGATCCAATTACGTCCAATTAAAAATAATCTAGAAATGTTTACTTCCATCTCTGTTTCAAAAATGAAGTACAGTAGTCAATTATGTTACGTATTTAGTTATTTATTAACTGCCAATAATGCATCTTTCATCATCTATGCCAGCGACAGGCATTCTAACTTGAAAACAACTTTGTGTTCAACTAAACAGGCCCAGATTTTGCACTGAATACATTTGTGAGTTAAATGAGATGAGATGATTATTTCAGTCCAGGCATATAGCCCTTGGCTTCAAAAAATGCTACCAAACACTGCATAGAGTGTAACTCGGGAAATGAATTGACTCTTGTGTGGGCTACGCTAATTTCCGAGAATGAATATTGTTCACCTACTCTGCAAGACGTGATGTCACGCAGTGTTGCACAAACCCAGTGGGCAGCAGGCAAAAGCACCGCGAGAAGCTGTGGTGTGTTGCCTCACAGTGTCAAAGGCGAAATGGGCCGCTCAACATGACAAAACGTGCACGCTAAAATTACAGCTGGTGGCACAGGAGCAGAACAGGCAGACAGAGTGCAGTCACCTTGGCCGGAATCACCCCACGCGTGTTCATTTAAACTAAATCAAATAAAATACAGTACTAATAATGCACTATTATGCTGCCGTGCACGCAAGGTCAAATGTTGTTTTGGTCGTTCAGCTCCACGTGCTCGCATCCGAGGTTTCTCCTTGCTGAGCAAGACACGCCCACCCGCGGCATTTGTAGTTGTCATGCCTGGTGTGGATTGTGCATGAACTGAGATCTGGCCTCACGTGTCTGCCTCCTCTCGTCTCCAATAATAGCGGCGAATGCGCTCTCTCTCCCCTGGCACCGCGCCCAGAGCCGGCGAGCCGCACGACACCTGACTGCCGCCTCACATGCGCGCACTCTCGACACGATTTCACCTCCAAACAAATCCGCAGTCCCGTGTTGAGATGAGCAACAAAACCCAAGTCAGGGCTTTCAAACGCTAGTTCCGTGTGCACTGGGCTTAGAATGGCCCCAAACAATTAATTGAGTATCAGTCACGGTTTTGTTGGTGTTTTTTTTGCTTTGTTTTGCATAGGAAAAGCTTGAGAGTGTGGGTTGGAATGCAACAAAACATAACCAGAACAGGTTGCTTACACGGGCTCAATATTACAATTCAATTGGGCTGGCCTGCACGTGGAACCGCAAGTTTTACAACTGCTCAATTATTGACAGTACAGCTTCTAATTCCCACCCCCTCCACTTGTTGGACCACGTGCAGCTCTTGTTTTCATACTACCAAGCAATTGTGTCAAACATTCAGGTATCCTAAGATCATAAAACAAACTATATATTGTGATCGTAGTTGGCAATGAGGAACTACAGTACACTGCATCATACAGAGAGCAGAGCTGCAACTTACACGGGCCAACAATTATCAAAGAAACACTCATAATAAACTTTGTGACCTGACAATCATTTTTTGCACCGTTCTTCTATTTGATGTCATGTTCAAGTGGACATGATGTCGAGGACCAGCCCGCCTGTGTGTGCTTGCCCTCTCGCTGCACAAGGTATTTGTTGAGCTGAAATGCAGACCTAATCCCTCGGCGAGCACGTGTTGCTGGATTTGTTGACTCATGCCAGCCAGAGCCACAGACAGACCCAACAAAGTGCAGGCCTCAACCTCTCCTCTTCCACAGTTGACAAACAAGCCCAGCCGCTCGCCTGACCCCCAACACACAGCCTGTTCACCTGAAGTCCAACGTGCGCCATACATGTCTATGAATAACCCCTCGAGAGCCACCGTGCTGTAAACGCCGTCAGTTCACACAATATCTCATTGACTGTGCTTTCAAGTGGGCTAAAGTACAGCACACATTGACAACCCTCTAAAGTGAATTCAGAGATTTATTTATTGGTACTTTGTGGTTGCATCATGCATGTTTGATGATCATGAGAACTGTCATTCTGATTTAGCATTAAACTGTTTTTCATCGTTTTAGTTTTTTGGATTTTCTGGGGGTCATGGCAAAAACTGTGCCTATTATGATCCACCAATAGAGTCCAGCATAACCCCCCCGCCACCCCCGCACA